CCACCCCCCCCCCCGCCCCCCCCCCCCCGCCTTCCCTCTGAAGTTTGATGTAACACTTCAATTTTCTATTAACAGTCACTTACAAAGGGACACTGCTGGTGAGTGGCAGGGTTGGGACGTAAATCACATTCTAAAAGCTTCTAAATCCCGTGCTCTTAATGGCACATGCACTTAAAGCAACATTCTGCGTATTCAGATACTTATAGCTATTAGGCTCCATCTAAGATCACAGAATCAATATCTCCAGGGCTGAGATATAGTTATTGGCACTTTAAAAAAACTTTCCATGGTCATTCAAATGCTGCTGTTTAAGAATTGGTATTTAGAGACCAGTCATGTAGGCTACATATTCACATAACTTGGAGTTGGGCCTATATTGTTGTTGCTTTTTTTGTCATCATGTATTCATCCATTCAATATTAATAGAATACCTACTGTGTCTAAGACTCTACACCAGATGTTAAAAGGTCATAGAAAACAATTTAGTTCAAGAGCTTTATAGATAATAGTGAAGGTCTTTTATGTAAATAAATAATTTAGATAGGAAGTGATAAAAAGAAGGTTTATTAATGCAAATGAAGTGCTGTGGGTCTTCAGTGGAAGAAGATATTATTTCCAGGGGTAGGACATTAGTGGGAAACAAATGTTGAGGTGGAAAAACTTCAGGGAGAGAGTGATGTTTGAAGTTCTGGTAAGATCTGGGAATATGAAGGGTATTTTTCACATGGTGTATATACTGATTAGTTGTCTACGGCTTTCTAACTTTGAAGAAGTAAGCTGCCATGCACAAGGGGTGATGAAGAGGGCCATGTGGCAAAGAATTGTGGATTGCCTCTAAGTGATGGGAGCAGCCCCTGCTGAGAGCCATCAGGGGGGCAGGACTCTCAGTCCTACCACTACAAGGAGATGAATTCTGACACTAACATGAGGGAGGCTGGAAGCAGGTCCACCCCAGTTGGGCCTTCAGATGAGTTCCCATCCCAATTGACACCTTGATTGTAGCATCTCAGAGGATGCAGATTCCTGCCCCATAAAACTGTAAGATAATGAGTGTGTGTGTGTGTGTGTGTGTGTGTGTGTGTGTTTTAAAGCCCCTACATTTTTGGAAATTTGTGATGCAACAATAGATACAGACTGTAGACTGGTGTAGACTGGTAACAATACAGATTTATTTTCTTATTGAGGACTATTCACTTTTTTTTGGTCTTGCCTTACTAAATAATACCATAATAAACATCTTAAATATATGTCCTTATGGACTAGAATTCTATTGTACAGATCAATTTGCAAGGCTGGAATCCTGAGTTAAAGATTATTATTATTATTTTTTTAATTTTTGCTAAAAGTATTACAAAGGGTATTACATATGTGTCCTCCCCCCCCTCCCGCCCTTGACAATCCCTTGCCCTCCCTTACCCCCCAGTGTCTTATGTCCATTGGTTATGCTTATATGCCTGCATACAAGTCCTTCGGTTGATCTCTTACCCCCCTCCCTGCTGCCCCCCAACCCTCCCTGGCCTTCCCACTGCAGTTTGACAATCAGTTTGAGGCAGCTCTGCCTCTGTATCTATTATTGTTCAAAAGTTTGTAATGGTCTTTATTATCCATGAATGAGTGAGATCATGTGGTATTTTTCCTTCATTGACTGGTAAAGATTATTTTTAAGCGGAGGTGGGAGAGGCTTCTACCACTGCCACTGTGCTCGCCAGCCATGAGCCTGGCTTATTGCGAGAAGGATGTCTGATTGTTGGCTTAGGGATCAGGCCTGAGCCAGCAGTCAGACATCTCTCAGAGGCCCCAGACTGTGAGAGAGTGCAGGCCAAGCTGAGGGACCCCTCCCACCACAGTACATGAATTTTCATGCACCAGGCCTCTAGTTATATATAATTGTATTACTAATTCACAAAATTAGCTTTTGTTATGCACACCTATACTTTGTGCATATGTTTCACTTAATAAATGAAAAGAATAATAAAAAAGATTATTTTTTAAAAAGATATTGCCAGATTCCTTCTAATGTGAAGTAACACTTCAATTTTCTATTAACAGTATGTGAGAGCATAATTTTCCTTACATCACAGCATTTAATAGGCGTTATCATTCTTTGGCAGTTTTTACCAGACATGTTGATAGAAAGCGGTTATCTCATCATGACTTTAATTTGCAGCTCAGTCTTAGTAAAAATGAGCAACTTTTCCATGTTGCTTGACTTTTTTGTTTTGATTTCTTAAAAATTAGCACTACTGGTCTTGTTGTTTCCAAGCACAGAGAATTAGAAATTGAGGATCAAACTAGAGGCACTTCTTTCCAATCCCTTTCAGAGCTTCCTTCACATCTTGGTTTCTCAGGCTGTAGATGAGCGGGTTTAACATGGGGATCACAATGCCGTAAAACACAGAAGCCATTTTTTCTTGTTCTCGAGACTCCTGGGACCCATGGTGCAGATACATGTAAGAGAGGGTCCCATAGAAAATGGTGACTGCTGTCAGGTGGGAGGCACAGGTGGAGAAGGCTTTTCTTCTCCCTGCAGCAGAAGATATCTTCAGGATGGCAGCCAGGATATATAGGTATGAAAAGATGACGACCGACACGGTGAACATCAAGTTAAACCCCACAAAGACGGTCAGGAACATGGTGTTTAAATCAATGTTGGAGCATGAGAGAGCAAGAATTGGGGGTTCATCACAGAAAAAGTGGTTAATTTTATTGGATTTGCAAAAGTTCAGTGAGAAAGTAAGACTTGTATTTATGGAGGCATTTAGGAAACCCATGAGGTATGAGCCAACTAACAGTTGAATGCAGACTCTCTGGGTCATGACTACTGGATAGTGGAGTGGGTTACAGATGGCCACATAACGGTCCACTGCCATTGCAGCAAGGATATAGCAGTCGCTTGTTGCAAAAGTACCATAGACTAGTAATTGCACCATACATCCTATGAATGAGATGGATTGTTCTGTTTCTAAAAAGTTTTGCAACATCTTGGGAGTGATAGCGGAAGTATAGCAGAGATCAACAAAGGCCAAGTGTTGGAGGAAAAAGTACATGGGGGTGTGAAGGCAGGAATTAATCTTGATGAGTAGGATCATCCCAGTATTACCCACCAGGGTGGTCACATAAATCACAAGAAATACTATGAAGAGGATATGCCAAGACGTGTGCTGCCCAGCAAATCCCAGAAGAATGAATTCAGTCACCTGAGTGCCATTGTTTTGTTCCATGACTAACAAAGACTAGGTATCACCTGAAAAGATACACAGAAGAAACGCAGAGAAAGCTAAGATCATTGTGATCCTTGAACTAATTCTATAATTGCAAATGGTATAATAATTTGGCCTCATAGTGGGGTCAGAGAATATTTTCTATGACGTAATTGACTTACATTTTAAAAGCTAAACTTTGACACCTGACTGAGATAATTTCATCTGCAGTTGGGAGAAATTGCCATGGACCAATAGCTGTATTCCCAGGGTGAAAACTGATTGGCATTTCATAAATATGTCAATTCTAGAACATACAAAACATACTTTTATTTAATTATATTTTCTTTTATGCCCTCACTATTTTTTCAATGTGCCTAAATACTAATCATTGCATCTGAGATCTTGATACACCTGTCGAGTTCCAACTTATTTCTGTAGTCTGATTTTATCTTTTTCTCCTTCTTAGTGACTCTTTTCTGCAATCAAGGGTTCATGGACACATGGAATCCTTTATGGATGTGTTTATCAAAGTTTTTATGGTAAAGGATCATTTTCTTTTTAACACTTTCTGTCTGTTTTGGACCAATATTTTGTAAAAAGCTACAAAAAGGTCTCAGCATTATTAAAAATCCTATAATAGTTTTAAATGTGCAACCTCATTTTCTATTCTTATTTCATCATAGAGTGGAAACAGAGAGTCCTAGGACTGGTGCTGGTTCATGGACCACACATTGAGTAACATGCTGTATGATGTCCATCCATTATAATTTACCTATGTGCTTTCCTAGTGATGGACAACAGATTGCCTACAACTTGTCTGCACTGCAAATACCTCAGTGTGAAAATTTTTCTATAGTATAATCCTAGAAACAAAATTTTTGGGTCTGAGGGTATGCACACATTTAACTTAACGAAGTTTTCTTAGACCATTTTCCATAATGTATGCACCAAGTATGAACTCCTACTAATCATACATGGGGGTGAGGAGGTTCCTATCTCCTAAATTCCTGTGAACATTTTCTTAAAATAATATCTCATTTTTATAAGTTTTTCTCCCTTAATTACAAGTGGACTTGACCATTATCTAGTATTCTTCTTAGAATATTGGGATTCTATTTTTTGTCAATTGCCTGTTCACATTTTTGGTCAATGTTTCTGTAAGTTGCCTCTTATTTTATTATTATATATTTTAAATTCTCACCTGATGATATTTTTTCCATTGATTTTTAGAGAGAGAGTGGAAGAGCAAGAGGGAAAGACAGAGAAATATAGATGTGAAAGAAACACATTGATTGGTTGCCTCCTGCAGGAGCCCTAACCAGGGCTGGGGCCAGGGAGGAGCCTAGCAACAGAGGTATGTGCCCTTGACCAAAACTGAACCTGGGACCCTTTGGTCCACAGGCTGACGCTATATCCACTGAGCCTAACCGGCCAGGGCTAAGTTTCTTTTTAGATGTTCTTTGTCCCAGATTTTAATCTTTATTCCAGATTTGAATTTCTTGTTACCTGTTAACGTGAGAAAGAGTTTCTTACAGTCTATCATCTGTTAATTTTGTCTATAATATGCTTTATAGAGCTGAAATCCTTAAATTTGAACTAATAATTCATCATTTTTGCTTTATTATAGATTTTTTTGAAAAAAAAATGGAATGAAGTTCATTCCATTCCCTTGTTTATTACCCCAGGAGACTAAAAAGCAATAATAAAAATTTTCCTTTCTATACTGGATTGCAGACACATTGTAATTCTTGCACTGTGAACACTTCATATCATGTACATAATTGGAAAAATATTACTATGTTTCTCAATATTTACTTTTTTTAAAAAAAGAAAGCAGGCTAACAGCACAGAGAGAGTAGTCAGTGTGTGTGTGTGTGTGTGTGTGTGTGTCTATGTTTGTGACTGTGTGTGCAAAATATTTAAATATTTTAAAAACCATTAAGTGATTTGACTTGTTATTTTAAAGCTTACTCACACAATACTTGGCTCAACTGTGCTATAGGAAAATTTTACCAAACATTTATGAAACAATTAATTCTAATATACAATCTTTTCCCATAACTGGCAAAAGAGAACATTCCCAATATATTTTGTGAGGCTAATGCAATCTTGACAACAAAGTAAAATTCGAGAAAAGAAAATGGAAACCAATGTCACTTGTGAATATAGATGCAAATAGCTTAAAAATAAACATCCACAATCAAATCCATCCCTGTATGAAAGAAATGATTGCTGGGGCCTCAAAGGAGTTTCCAGTGAACAGCTATTCACCTCTTTCTCATGATTTGAACAAGTTGAGGAATAAAGATAGTGTCTATATGGAGACCATACTATCACGTTCAGCCACTTGGGGAAAGATTTACTTAGACAAGTTCCTTGCTGTCAGTGAACAATATAACTAGACAGGCTTATTCACCTGGTTTTGGTGGCAGTGCCCGGGGGAGACCTCTTGCACATTTTGGGGAAGTGCCTCTGGAATGCAGAGTAACATCGGCTTCAGCAGGCTGGCTAATCCCAAGAGGGAAAGGGCAGAGCAGAGCATGCCAGGTTGTGCTCCAGTTTGCCAGTCTGCCATGTTACTCCACCTTGCTGGGAACTGAGGGAATAAAATGGGTAGAGGGTGCCTCAAATGACACAAATTTAGGTCCCTTTGCAAGAAAGAATCATCAGAAGCAGGAGAAAAGGTATTTTCCATCTGCAATCAAGACTAAGTTGTATACACTTTATGTTTCTTTCCAATTTAATTTATAAATTCAAGGTCATTTCAATGAAATGCTTGAAAGAATTTTATGTGCACCTTCACAAACCTACAAAGTGTATATGGAGGAGAAAAGAGCTAAAATAATTGAGAGAATTTTAAAGGAAAACAAGGTGAGAACTTGTCCTACCAGATATCGGAAGTTACCATAAAGAAGTAATGTTGATACTGTGTGGTATTAGTGTGAGGGAAGACACATTGATCAATACAACCGAGAAAAAGAAATTATAAAAAGACCCACAAATCTATAGAAGCTTAATGTCTGAACACAGTAAATGCACATCAGTGAATTATGGTCCATTAAGCTGTGGTGCTATAAATGCCTAAACATATGAAATTATAATATTGTACTCCTACTTTACATTTTACAAAAAACAATTCTAAATGGATTAATCATTTAAATTGTAAGACTTTGAGAGTAAAACAGAAGACTATATATGACTTAGATAGGCAAAAATGTTTAAACAAAACATGAATACACAAAACATAAAACACTGAAAATTCAACTATACCTAAATTTAAAACACAAACATTATATTAAAAAAAACTGGATGTTGACTGGAAATTTACTCTGGTAAATTTATTTGCAACACATATAAATGTCAATGAATCAGTAGCCAGTATATAGAAATAATTTCTATAAGTTACCCCAAGAGAAAAATTCATAAAAGATAGGATCAGGATAATTATAGAAGAGAAAACCTAAATAGTCAATAGATATGTGGAAATGTACACAACTCACTAGCAATCAGGTAATTGTATATTAATACTGTATTGAAATATAATTTTTTACTCAGTATAAAATGTAAAGTTTTGGTGAGATTGTAGGGTCACATATTAGCAGTCATGTTGGGATCAAATTTGGAATAATTAGTAAAATTAACTATATGCCTCCAGAATTTCCATTATAGGTCCATATACTAGAAAAAATTTCACCATGTAAACAATGACACATACATATAAGTATATATATGACTATAGATATACACACACAAGAATGTCCTTAGCAGCATTATTCATCATAGAAAAATATCAACAAATCACTGAAAAGTCAGTCAATTGGTGTTGTAAGATATGTGAATAAATATCACAAATGGAATGCTAAATAATAAAAATCAAGTTGCAGAAGTGAGATGAGTGGTGGTTACAGTATTTTAAGTGTGTTTTTATACACCTGAAATGTTGTGTAGTAACAGAAATTCCTCACCAAGAAAAAAACCACATCATCAGTCCATCAGTCGAGGGCTCCTTTATTCTGATGTCAGAAATGCCAGGCGGAGCAGTAGCTCCATGGACACGATGGTCAGTTTTAGAGAGGGATGTGCCTTCAGTGATGGGAAACACAGCAAATTAAACCTGTGGTTGATGTGCATAATCTGGGTCTTTCAAATATCTTGAGAAATGAACAAGAAATACCTTGTGATAATTTTGTGGTGATGAAACAAGACACATTCTGTTTAATGCAACATTTGGTGAGGGCTAAGGGCCAACGCATTTGTGCAGTTTCCTCTTCAGGACAATTTGCAAATTAAAATAGATTACATTAAGTCTTTTCAAGGAGGCTTCCATCCAGTAGGTAAAAGCACTTGTCAGAGGAAGCTAGAATTGGTCATGGGTTCACTTAAACTAGGACCTGGATAGGGTAATGATAATAAATTTGAATTGAAATAAAATGACATATTGGGATTCCTTTTTCAAGAGCTATGGAAAATCAGTACAAGGAACAACACACCACACACACACACACACACACACACAGAAGCATGCGCGCCAAGTGCCCAAGTATGTTGAACATGCTTAACTTAGCTTGAACCCGGTGCTTCTGAAGCTTTATTTATATTAAGCATTGTGCATTGGGAAGGACACAGGCTGACCTGAATTTGAATTCCGTTCCCATCACTTCATAGAAACAAAGAATGTACTTCCTTTGGCCTCAGTTCCATCCTCTATAAAATGGGATCACAGAATCACTTAGAAGGTAATGACTGTCATTGTAACACTATTTGCAATAGCAGGACTTTGTAAATAGAGTTAAATAAATCAGAGTAGGTTCTTATTATGGATCAATACATACTCCAAAAAGAATGAGATAATACTTGTACGGAAAGGAGCACATGTCATATTGTCAAATGAGCAAAGTAAGTTGCAGAATGATGCATTAAATGTGGACTCTTTTAATTGGTTAAAACTTTCACTCCCATGCTCTCTTTTTCTCATTTTCTTTATTTATCTATGAAAAAGGCCAGGAAGGGCTCACACTAAACTTTTAATGGTTATCCTTGGGGATGGGAATGGGGAGAGAATACCTTAAACTTATAAACTTCTTTGCCTTTTCTTTTAAAGTAGCTTAATTGTTTTAAAAAGGAAGAGGAAGAAGCAAAGTCTGCTTTGTAATGATATGACAAAGTGAGGTGATTTATGTAAACTTTCAGGCACAGGGCCAGGCATT